TCAATTGGTGAAAACCCACAAAGGGCATCATTGATCGATTTAGGTCTTCATATATCTTGCCACAAGCATGGTTAAGACAAAGTTTACAACATATTTCGAGAATTAGACGGTTCAAACGGATTGGGCATCCAGTCCAAAATGCATGTCATGTTCATTGAAGTCAGCATATTCCTCCAGATAAGTCCTTTCTTTCCCTGAAAGGGACACTTCTTGATTAAGTCATAATACATGTTAGTTCACTTTCTTGTTTTCTTTCGCGTTACTTTCTTGAGTCCCTTTTAGTCTAATTTTGTCAAAGCAAAGCAAAGAAAAGGCCACAAAATTAGTTATAGTTTCCCCATTATATAAAGCAAAGATTGTTGGGCATAAACCGTATGGGCAAAGGCATAAAGCCATTTGTGATTTTCATTGACGAGCAAAAGGCTGGAAGGACTGAACAATGTTCCAAGGGTCAACAAAAGTTACTCAGTTAAAAGATTTTTGGGAGCAAGGTTGTTTGCACCACAAATATAAATGGTGATAGGCACAAAATAGTCAGGCTTCGATGCTGAGAAAGAAGATCTCCAGAAAGTAAGGATAGAATCTCCCGGCAATTTGTACGACCATCGACTGAGTTAGTTTTTCTAACAAGTGTAATGGACGCAAGGTCAAGTCACCCAAAGAAATCAAGGCCACAAACTGACCCCCATTTTAAAACTAATGAATCTTTCTTTGTTCAAAACAGGAACTGAACAGTTTTAGGAAACAGTTCGTGAAGGGACGAACCCCACCAAGAGAAGTTCTCAAAATCCTTGTTTTTTTTTTCCAATATACATATAATCATGTTATTTTTAGTTTAATTTTAGGGAATCAATACCCTATCTTTAATACAGGGTACTACATCCCCTGGCTGCATTATTTATAGCCTACATAGGGTACGACATTCCCTAGTAGCATACCAGAGTGCCACGAGCCTCATTTTATTTCTAACACAGGGTACTACATCCCCTGGTCGCATTATGTTTTGCCTACTTAGGGTACGACATTCCCTAGTAACATTCCAGAGCGCCACGAGCCTCATCTTATCACCAACATAGGGTACGACATTCCCAGTAACATCTTAAAGTGCTACGAGCCTCATTTTTATTGCAAACATAGGGTACGACATTCCCTAGTAGCATCCCGAGGGCCACGAGCCTCACCTTATTGCTAACATAGGGTACTACATCCCATGGCTGCATTACTTTCTGCTAACATAGGGTACGACATTCCCTAGTAGCATCTCAGAGCGCCACAAGCCTCATTTTATTGCCAACATAGGGTACGATATTCCCTGGTAGCATCCCAGAGTGCCACGAGCCTCATCTTATCGCCAACACAGGGTACTACATCCCCTGGCTGCATTACTTTCTGCCAAAATAGGGTACGACATTCCCTAGTTGCATCTCAGAGAGCCACGAGCCTCATCTTGTTGCCAAACACAGGGTACTACATCCCCTGGTTGCATTTTAGTGCCAACATAGGGTACGACATTCCCTAGTAGCATCTCAAAGAGCCACGAGCCTCATCTTATTGCCAAACACAGGGTACTACATCCCCTGGTTAGATTTTTATTGCCAACATAGCGTATGACATTCCCTAGTAGCATTTCAGAGTGCCCTCAGCCTCATTTTATTGCTAACATAGGGTACGACATTCCCTAGTAGCATCCTAGAGTGCCACGAGCCTCATCTTATTGTCAACATAGGGTACTACATCCCCTGGTTGCCTTCCTTCTTATTAACATAGGGTACGACATCCCCTATTACTCAAAAAAAAAAACTTTTTTTTTCAATTCTTTATTCTGCAATAGCAAATATAGTTTAATGAATTTTCAATAACTCACAAAATTTTCCTAGAGCAAACTGGGGCAGAAAATGTTTGTTCGTTTTGTTTGTTTCTGATGGTTTGCAGGTTTTTTCTGCAAAGTACAGATTGGATGTGCAAAAATAAGATTCCATCTCTCGCCAGAGAAAGTGAAACATTTGATCTCAATACCAGCCGAACCAGCTTTGACGTAATGCATGCGGAGACATAGGGTCTCAAGATCCATCTTCTCATCATCTGATCAAGAATCAAGCCTCGGAGAATATTTCATAGTTTGTTACATCGAGAGCATCAAGTTTCAGTCTAAAGTCAATGAGGGAAGCAAGTCAAGAATCAAGACAAGACTCCAGATAGTATTTAGATAGAAATTTTGTAACTCTTAGATTTCAAAAGTATGTAATTTTCTTTTCATTTTGATGTAATAGTAGGAACCGCGGATCTGAACCTCGACGGAACTTCACTCGACTCTCCCTCTAAGCATACTCCATCACTCTACGTTCACTTGAACTACACGTGACCTGATTCCCTTATAACCCGGGATATGTAGGCTGCCTAAAACCAAGGCTCGGTCACATACCTTTCTTTTATCTTATTTTTTTCATTTTAAATAATAGTGAGGTAAAAAATTAGTTACCTTGTTCATTTTCTTTGCCTGAAAACTTTTCATGTTTCCAAGCAAAGAGGGGCATGCTGTGAACAACTAATTTTTGACTACACCCAAATTCTATACTATTTTAGTGTAAATATTTATTCTAGGTCTAATTTTTATATTTTAAACTTTTATCTTACTTTTAATAGGTTTTATTTAAGAAAATTAAAAACTACAAAAAATATTCACATTCTTAGAGTATAAGTTTTGTTCTTATTTTTATATAGAAGAAAATTCTTCTAATTTTAAATATAAGTTATAGTATTTTTCTTAGTATAATTTAAACTTTAGTGTAAATATTTAGTTTTCTTATGTATATAATATTTAAGTATAAAACTAGCTGACTAATACTTTTAGCTATGCATTTTACTTTTTCTTTTTATTCATTTCAAAAAAAAAAAAAAAGGAGAGTAAAAGTTATTTTTTTTTAAAAAGGCAACTAACAAGAAGAATAAAAAAGTAACAAAATAAAAAATATACAAAAGTTTCTCCTACTAACTACATAAACACTCACCCCATAACTCCCACTCTCTCACGTCTAGCACACACCCTCATATATTTTCTCACCTCAATCCCATGTAAATCAACTCCTTTGCACATTATCAGGTAACCACCAAAAGTTTCTTTACAAAAGAGGAGGACACATTTTGAACAAAGGGGGGTCCAATTTTTGAAAAAGAGAAAATTTTGAACAGGAGAGGAAAAAGAAAATTGAGAGAAAAGGAAGAAAGTCATCATTGATTTCCATTTCCTAAATTGAAGTTCTTGTCTTCTCTGTACACAACAAAAGGTTAGAAATCCATCAATAAAAGATTCTTTCTTTTTAATCTATTTTTTTTTCTTTAAGGCTTCTATTTTGGTTTAGTTTTATCGAAATGTTTCATTATTTTCTCTTTTGTTTTGTTTCTGTTTGTCTGTTTAAAATTAGTTTTTTAAGTAGTTAGAGTTTGTTCTTAAGTGTTAAAGTCACGTAGGGATTAAAGTTTAGATCTTTAAGGTGTAATTGAAAAGAATATACTTTGGTTTACTACTTTACTCAGTTACTGTAGTTTGGATGACTATATATATTTTATTCTTTTTTTTTACCTTGCCTCAAAATTAAAAGTTAAAATTTGTTTATATCTAATTTTTCAGTATGTCCTATTCACTGTTGCGAGGCTAAGATATTCTTTCCTAGCTTTTGTTTTGGTGTTAAAATGACGTTATTGCTAAATAAGTAAGAGTATTTAATCAATAAAATTATGTATGATGTTGTGTTATTCATTAATAAGTAGTTTCTGAGGCTTTAAATTAAGTTGACCATGAGTTTTTTATTGACCATTAATTTACGGCAGTATCACCTTTCAAAAAGATAATTTTACTTCCCTTCAAAAATTTATGTAAGATCCTTATATCATGTTTTGGATTTAGATTTTATTTGAATCTTACTTTATGCGTTGTTTGGAATTTTTTGTTTTGTTTGTAAGACTCACGAGAGAAGTGGGTGACATTTTCATTGATTAGTTTTACGATCTTTCTTTAGTGTGATTAATAGTGAATATCTATATTTGGTTTGATTTGTGATTTGATTTATTATTTTTAATATTCTTTTATTTTAGCATTTTTGGATTCTGATTTGGAGCTGATAGAGATAAAAAAAGATAGATAAATGGAATACTCTAAATACGCTAGTATGCTTTAGGCGCGTGTTAACCAATCAATTATCGTGATTATGTACACGTTCGCGTGACATAGTAACGATTTTCCAAATTAAAGGCAAAGTATGCGTTCGCGCAACTTTGACAAAACAATCTTAAAAATAATAAAGTGTTATTAATTGTGTACACATACGCGTGACATGATTCATGACATACCAAACAAAATGAATACACGTACGCGTGATTCGTTTCAAGATAATTCCATAATTACGAATAATAAAGCAATTAAAAGCGGTAAAAAGGTAAATGTACATAGGTTCTAAAATGAGTAATTAAATAATTTAATTAAGCCAGGTATGATTAAAGCGACCGTGATAAAACCACGGAATCTGAGAGTACCTCACACCTTCTCTCGGGTTAACAGAATTCCTTACCCGGTCTTCTGTGTTCGCGGACCGTAATTCGGAGTCAAAACTTCCTCGATTTGGGATTTCAAATAAACCGGTGACTTGGGACACCAGAAATTATCCCAAGTGGAGACTCTGATTAAATAAATAATCCCATTTCGAATAATGTCACTTAAATTGAAAAAATTCCTTTCTTTCTTATCCCACGAGAAAAGTAGAGGTGTGACACCGAGTAGAAGGAAAAAATGATTGAGATCCTCCGACAGTACGTCACCAGGATTAAGCACCGACATTGTCTTGCATCGACTACCCACTCGGCCTACCAGACCGCCAGTCAAGCAGAATCCCAGGAAGTTCAAACCTGATTTAAGTCTAAGGATAAAAGAAGAAGTGACCAAACAGATAGAAGCAAATGTAGTAAGGGTCACTAACAATCCAAGCTGGGTGGCAAACATCGTCCCAATGCCTAAGAAGAACGGAAAGATCAGAATATGTGTGGACTACCGAGATCTCAACAAAGTTAGTCCAAAGGATGATTTTCCCCTGCCAAATTTCCACATCCTCATCGACAATTGTGCGAAACATGAACTGCAGCCATTTGTGGATTGTTTCGTTGGTTACCATCAAATCTTAATGAACGAGGAAGACGCAGAGAAGACAGCCTTCACCACGCCTTGGGGAGTCTACTATTATAGAGTTATGTTGTTCGGTCTTAAGAACACCAGTGCCACCTACATGAGGGCCAGGACGACCCTCTTTCACGACATGATTCATAAGGAGATTGAAGCTTATGTGGATGACGTCATCATAAAGTCTCGAAAGAGGTCATAGCACTTGAACAACTTGAGGAAATTTTTTGAAAGCCTGTGAAGGTACAGTTTGAAGTTGAACCCAGAAAAGTGTGCGTTCGGAGTCCCCGCTGAGAAACTATTAGGTTTCATTGTAAGTAGGAAGGGAATAGAACTGGATCCATTAAAAGTCAAGGCCATCCAGGAATTACCACCACCAAAGAGCAAGAAAGATGTCATGAGTTTCCTGGGCAGACTGAATTACATCAGTCATTTCATAGCCTAGTCCACGGTAATTTGTGAACCCATTTTCAAGCTGCTAAAGAAGGATGCTGCCACAAAATGGACGGAGGAGTGCCAGAAAGCCTCTGACAAAATCAAAGAGTATCTTTCAAACCTGCCAGTGTTGGTTCCCCCCAAACCAGGGAAACCATTATTGCTCTATTTGTCAGTCTTGGACAATGCCTTCGGCTGTATGTTAGGGCAGCGTGATGAAACTGAGAGGAAGGAGTAGGCCATCAACTAGTTAAGCAAGAAGTTCACACCGTGTGAGGCCAAGTATACCCTGATAGAATGCACTTGTTGTGCTCTGACTTGGATTGCTTAGAAGCTAAGGCATTACATGTCGGCATACACTATTCATCTGATATCTCGGCTCAACCCGCTCAAGTACATTTTTCAGAAGCTAATGCCTAATGGAAAGCTAGCTAAATGGCAAATTCTCCTCAGTAAATTTAACATTGTGTACATAACTCAGAAGGCTATCAAAGGGAAAGCTTTAGCCGATCACCTTGCCGAGAATCCAGTGGATGGAGATTACGAACTGTTTACCAAATATTTCCCCTATGAAGAAGTACTATTTGCTGGGGAGGATATTGCAGAATCATACCCTGGGTGGAGAATATTTTTCGATGGAGCAGCAAACTTCAAAGGAGTCGAAATTGTGGCAGTCCTAATTTCGAAATCTGGACAACATTATCCAACATCGGCAAAGATAAGATTCCCTTGTACAAATAATATGGCTGAATACGAAGTGTGTATCCTTGGAATCAGAATGGCAATCGACATGAAGATCAAAGAACTTTTGGTCATAGGAGATTCCAATTTGTTGATACACCAAGTCCAAGGAGAATGGTCCACCAATTTGTTAAAGGAGTTGTGTAAGAAGTTCGCAAAGATTGAGTTCAAGCACGTCCCCAGGATTCAGAACGAGTTCGCCGACGCCCTTGCAACCTTATCATCTATGATTATGCATCCAGACAAGAACTACATTGACCCTATCGAGGTAGAGATCAAGGACAAGCAATCCTATTGCTTCGCTATGAATGAAGAACCAGATGGTAAACCATGGTATCATGACATCAAGAAATTCTTTAAGACCCAAGAGTACCTAGAGAATGCTACTAATGGTGAAAAGGGAGCCCTCGGAAGGTTATACCCATAGAGCCTGCAGCATCAAACGGACATCGTTTCATCTTGGTAGCCATCGACTATTTCACCAAATGGGTCAAGGCATCTACTTACAAGGCCTTCACAAACAAGGTAGTGGCAGATTTTGTCTGAAACAACATCGTCTGTAGATTTGGAATACTAGAATGCATCATCATAAACAATGCCGCTAACCTCAATAGAGACCTCATGAGATAAATCTACGAGAAGTTCAGAATTATCCACCGCAATTCCACAGCCTATAGACCGCAAATGAATGGGGCAGTCGAGGAATCTAACAAGAATATCAAGAGGATTCTGCGAAAGATAGTGGACAATCACAAACAATGCCACGAGAAGCTACCCTCCGGTCTGTTGGGTTATCGGACTACAATGAGAACATCCACCGGGCAAAGCCATACATGTTGGTATACGACACTAGAGCGGTGATACCCATAGAGGCCGAGATACCATCCTTAAGAGTCATTCAAGAGGCAAAATTAGATGAAGCAGAGTGGATACGGGTAAGGCAAGAGCAACTCATGCTCATTGACGAGAGAAGAATGGATGCAGTATGTCATGGACATATATATTAGAACAGGATGGCCAGTGCATTTAACAAAAGGGTGAAGCCTTGCCAATTCACACAGAGGCAGTTGGTTCTGAAGAAAATCTTTTCCCATCTAGAAGAAGCCAAAGGAAAATTTGCACCAAACTGGAAAAGTCCTTACGTGGGTCACTAAGCACTATCTGGAGGAGCTCTAATCTTGGCAGAAATGGATGGAAGAGTCAACACGAAGCCTATCAACTCAGACGCAATCAAGAGATACTATGTCTAAAGACAAATAGAGCTAGGGTTTATGATGTAATAGAACTACATTCAACCAGACTTCCCACTGAGGGATATGTAGGCAACCCGCGTAGGGTTTGGTTTCTCTCCTCCCCTTTCTCTTGTAATAGAAAAACCAAATATCACTTTTGTATGTTGTTCAGGAACTACGCCGACTTGATTTCCTCATAAAGGAATACGTAGGCAATCCTCATCGAATTCAATCATCTTTTTAATTGAACTACGTTCTGGCCTGATTCCATTTGGATACGTAGGCTTTCTGATTCAAACTCGGCCATCTTCATTCTTAATCTCATCCTTTTGCATCTGTTGTAATCGAACTACGCTTCGACCTAATTCCATTTGGATACGTAGGCTTCCTGAGTTAGGCTCGGTCATTTTCATCATATTTTATCACCATCCCATGAAATACGTTCAAACATGATTCCATTTCGGATACATAGGCTACCTGAAAGGGTACGGTCATAACCTTAGGAAAGCCTTTGTAATGCATTAGTTATAATTTAGGACGCAGTCGCAACAGAAAGTAGCCGTGTTGTCAGAGGCGTCACGGAAGATCGACATCAACATGACGAAGTTCTCAGAGGAATACATTCGCGTGTGGAGAACTTTGCATAACATGTCATAATCTGAAACGACAGCATTTGCTTTATGTGAAACAAGTATTTTCAAAACGTCTTCTAGAATATATATATATATATATATATATATGTGTGTGTGTGTGTGTGTGTGTGTGTGTGTGTGTGTATGTATACAGTAACTCATTCCATCTACCGAACTTTGTGGCACAATCATGTCAAAGGTCGGGGCAAACCAACATGTTGGTCAACACAAACCAACACCCCATCCCCCCTAGTAAGAAGTTTTCTTTGGGTGCAGGGTCAACAGGGAATAAGGAAGCGCTAGGACCATACAGGGGTAAATGACGGATCCGCCACTTGCCTAAGATTATCTCTCCTACATTTTACCTAAATTTTCTAGTACAACTAAAGCTAACTCTTGAATCCTCTGCAGGTGCCTCGGAATCAGACAGCTGGCATGGAAATTTGTACATAGCAAACCGCCTAATCAATCAATTGGAGCACCTTGTACAAATTGCACGTCGGCTTCACCAATCGAAGTCCTGTATATTGCAAACAGTCAGCTCAATCAATCGGAGCACCTTGTACAAATCGAACGTTGGCTTCACCAATCAAAGTCTTGTATATAGCAAATCGTCTGCAAATCAGAGTGCCTTCTACAAATCGAACGACGGCTTCGCCAACTAGAGCCTTGTATATAGAAAAACTGCAAACTTCGTCAGCAAAAGCAATTCGCAGCACTGCTCCGTCAATCAAGGACACCGGGATAGACATTCGCAAACCGCGTTACCAACGTCCTGCCAATCCATGGCCGCAACCTAGCTTCGTAATTAAGAGTATATCTTGGGCATGCTTTAATTTCCTTTACTATTACTTTGAATGTTTTGACATTTGCTCATGTAGCTTTAGGTATGATTATGATTTTTATCAATCACTCCCGAACGGAGAATAATTTACATTTCAGTGCAAAGCTCTCCCAACAAGCGGAAACACACTTTACAAATCGAGCTCTCCTAACAAGCGGAGACACTTACCAGTGCAAAGCTCTCCCAACAAGCGGAGACACATTGTACCAATCAAGCTCTCCCAACAAGCGGAGACAATTTTCAAATGCTCCGACAGCTGCGAAATGGTACACAGCTCGGCTAACAAATCGAGTCAGTATCAAGTATTCCATCATCCCAATCCCAAATAACGGCTCACCGACAGCCAGGCATCATTATTCCTGCATCATTTACATCTCATCTTAATATATTCTGCATTACAATATATTGGTATGCGTGTATTTCATTTGTTTTGCAGGAACAAACACCACAGCGTGGAACTTGTTCTTAGCAGCAGACCGAACTACAACGCTATGGGGACAGCCAACCAAGTAGAGGGCCTAAGATCCCAGCTCAAGTTCACCAGCGAGAACAAAATTTTGAATAATTCAAATCAGGCCGCAAAATTCAAGCTACCATGAGTGACCAATCTTCCGTCTCGCCGTATCGTCACAATATGATACTGGGGCAATTCATGCGAGTGTCATTTCCCCAAAATCCCTACTCCAGTAGTATATGAGGTCTGATCCTTATTAAGCCCGAACCATGTAAGCAATTCAAAGTCAGAATTCGGCCCAATATCCCCAAATCTTTCTAGATTCTTCCTCAATTCAATCCCACAAATTCACCATCTCCATTTCCTGCAATACCTGCCTAAAAGTCGGGACAAAATTGGCTTTGGTTCCATTTCTTTGCTCAAAAACTCTTTCATCGTCTCCGGTCAAAGAGGGGCAGCTGTTGAGGGCCAATTTTCAAAGTATTTTCCACTAATTAATGCCTATTTCTACAAATTAATTCAGTGTTATTTCAAAATTAATCATTTGGCATTAGTATTATGTAATTATAAATATATTTACTATTTTTAAGATTATGAAAATACTTTTATCAAAGTTCTATAATTAATTTAATAAATTACTTCTTAAAATAGTTAATTAGTTTACTATTTCAATTATTCAAAATTAATGTCCTAGTGAAATATTTTTGCAAATAATCAATTAATTGCATTAATTAGTAGTATTTAACAATTATAATTTTTATTACATTTTATTGAAAATTATTAAGTTATTTAACTTAATTTCAAAAGGGATTATGAACCAAAAGGCCACAATTGCAATTCTTGAATCAAATGTAAAATGGCCATCTTTTAAATTGATTTTGGCCCAAATCACTGAGCCCAGTCCGAAAATACCCAGTCCAATAACCCCTCGTTCTCCACTTTGGCAATCCATGTCACTCCTATTAGGCCAATCGGACCTCGCCACATCACCCGTCTCAGTCATTCACAAAAGAAATACAAAATTATCTTGGTCGTCCATTCCAAAAATCAACGGCCCACAATTTTAACGCCATTCTCTTTATTTTTAATACACCTCCAGATCTATTCTCAACCATCCAAATCCTATCATCTAATGTCCACCAATTTTTCCCATTTAAATCATTTCTAAATTCCTAATTATCAAAATGATCGGAGTCGTTGATCAACAGATCCAACGACTCCCATTCCATCTCTCTATCTTAACTCAGAGACGACCAAAATCCCTCCCCAAACCCTAATCATTTCACTCAGAGACCTGGCCGCCTCTCTTTCCCTTTGCCCTCTCTTTTCTCTCAA